GACTTAGAGAACAATATACAGTACTAACATTAGGAACGCCAATGTTCAACAACTGGTACAATACTGCACTAAAATGCTATAGAGGTTCGATGCCATTTAGCCTCTATATTCATGATTTCATTTGCATTAATTTCCATTGATATAATATTTGAAATCGAACATAAAATAATGTTAGTAGAAAACAAATTACTACAAAATATATAAGAAAAATACCAAATAAAATAATAAGTACAAATAATTAAATTTTAATACTATCAAATTCCAAGTATATAAATTACACAGGTTAACGATTCAAATATACAAATATCAGCATGGCAAGGTTAGTAGTTTAAATACAGTAGTACCCCCTATAACGCGGGTTCATATAATGCGAATTCGTATATCGCGGCGAAAAAATTGCGACAGTATTCGTATAAAGATGCAGGAAGAGACTCGTAAAATGCGGTAAAACGTCATCGCCGATTCGTGTCGCGACAGGATTGGTCGAATCTGGACCAATAGTGGACGAGCAGCCGAACTACTTACACGCTACGGAGAGTTTAGGCGGGTAAGTTGAGTTTACTATCGTCTGTATAGTATATAAATTAGGTACTGTAAGTCTAATACAGTACTGTAATGTTATACATTTCTTGTGAAAAAAAAAACATTTCTTATTCAACGGCCATTAAAATTATTTCTATTAATGATGTCTCCAAAGTTCAACGAATTTTTCGCAGAAAAATAACATCAGAAATTGCGGCCGCCGTTCGGTGCGCTGCTCCGCGACAAAAACAAGCTTAAGCAATGGCGACGTCGAACGGTGCACACTCGGTAAGTAATCCTACAATTTTTTGTTTATAGCATAGTTTATACGGATTATTCCCAAAAAATTNTTTTTTGTTTATAGCATAGTTTATACGAATTATTCCCAAAAAATGATACGTGTTTCGGAAATGTTGAGTCAAATTAGTCTAGAATCGATTAATTTTATGGAAGAAAACCTTCCAAACAGCCGTAGTCCGTAAACTGTACACGTGCCGGGCTGTGATTGGCTCATGTATTTAAGGATTCCTACAACGTGAAATTCTTATAAAGTGGAACGTATCTACCGCGTTAAGGGGGGGTCGACTGTACAAACTTACATATGCATAAATATGGTTTTACATCTAGTAATGAAACAGAATATATTCTAAAATGTTAAATATATTTAATAATATATTAATCCCATTAAAAAAAACTGGAACTAAGCTGAAGAGTAAAACTCGATCTAAATAAAGGAAGGTTTTGACAGTTGTGGCATAGGTATACTGGAATCATATTTGACAGTAGGACTCAACATGTAAATAAAGTGCACATTACACAGATTACAACTGCAGAAAGTTTTGGATGAAGCAATGTCACCATGATAATAAATCAGAAAAAGAGCTTCGTCACAGAAAAATGCCTCAACCTTAAAGCCTTAAAATTGGCACTTTAACATTACAATGATGAGTTCATCCTATTTAATGTCACAGAGCGTACCGCACTCTATGATATTAAATAGGATGAACGCATCATTGGATGAACACTTAAGTAGCACGTTTTATTCGTGCTAAGTATGATAGACAAAAGAGAGCATAAACTGATAAATCTTTAAGAAAAATAATGACTGTTAAACTATAAACAATAAAGGTATTTCAATGAAAATATTGTTTTTGAAATTTTTGAACTGTTTTTTTGTAATTGCATTCTTATTATGGTTAGAATCTTATCACTAGATTAAGTGCTTTTTAAATTAATTACCTGCTTCAAAATTATTTTAGTTATTGTAGTCCTATATGTACAATATTGTTGCAATGTTCAGTACAGTATGTTCTATTCTCGTACAACACGAGAGTTGCATTCCGGAATCTTAACGTTATTGATCGTGTTATACGAAAACGGTAATTGCAGTACGGTGAAACCTCGGTTTTCGAACTTAAAATCGTTCTAAAATCGAAACAAATTTTTCTATAAGAAACAATATAAAACGGATTAATCCGTTCCTGCCTTCCCAAAATAAAACTAATTTTTACATTTTTAGCTGTATTTCATGCTAAAAATACCTACAGATGCAATGTAATACTGTATGAATTTAATTTAAATTAAGCACCTTTAATTAAAGACGAATTCTTAGATACTATTTATATTACATGAATTAACGCAGCATTAACCGCGGCGTTTATCGAAAAACGAAAGTAGTATCTTTCCCGCATGCCAATCGAAATCTAATTTAAATAGCGACGTCATCGACAATTCGTGTGGTATAGTCTAATGACGCCAGGCGACCTCAGCGCCGCTAACTTCCGAATCAGTAATCCTGTCGCTGATTGGTCGAGCCATCGATTTTCATTAACATAGGAAGTATAGTTATCCTACGGCAAATTTGAGTTCAAAATTCTGTTCGTGAACCGATTTGTTCGAAAAGTGAATCGTTCAAAAACTGAGGTTAGACTGCACAGGTACAGTACATCATATACTTCTAAATAAACTTAGAAATAGAATATTATCGGATTTTTTAGAATTGTCAAATCTTTATGGTATGCTCGATGTAAAATCTATCGGGGAAGGTTATAAATCCCAGTTCCTAGTGTTTAGTTCACAGAGTCAACCGAAGAGGACTATTGTACCCAAGGCATATTGACAATGCATAAACTAATAAAAAAGGTGAATATCGTACGTTGAATAGCCTGATGTTTATGTAACAACACTTCATCGTGTTCCAGAAAAACATATTGAATAAAAGTACGGTTCTATATAGCAACAAGTTTAATATTATTAATTTTAATTATATGTAATTATTAAGTTCATTTAAAGCTAAAAATAGCTGGGATTTTAATTAGAATCTAAATAAAATAATTTATAACATATAAATTTTATTTATTTATTTTAATTAAATTCTAATTAAAATTATAACAAAAATATAGATATTATAATATCTATTCTATATGACAAGTGATCTATATTCTGCCAATCATACGAATATAACATTACACTTTATTCTGCCACTGTTAATTAATATAGTTCAAAATATTTCTGTATTTAATAACAGAAAAAAACTCAAAAATAATTAACAAAATTTAAACTTTTTATGCAAGGTATAATACGTTAACGTATACAGGGTGTTACGAAATTCGTATTACAAACTTATAGGGCAGATTCCTTATTAAAAACAAAGATAAAAATTTCACTAACATTTTTCAAATAATGCCTTTTATTAAGGAGATATGGACGTTTAAAGTTCAGTGACGTCACTTCCGCGTCAGGGGTATTGTAAATAAGGTTCTTCGTACGGTCCCAAAGAAAAAAATCGAGTGGAGTTAAATCTATTACACGAAACTCACGTACTCTTCAAACGTGTAATTAGACATGTTAGCCACAGATACTCGATGGCAAGTGAATTCCAGTTTAAAGTAACAAAGTATTTTATATGAAATATACATAAAATCAGGCCGTGTTCAGTGAGGCAGAACACTAAGTCAGAATTCTGAGCAGCTAAGTGAGCGCAGGTAAGAAGGATCTGAGCGTCATTGAAGGATTATTCTTTGTCAAAGAGCTACAAAAAATGGTGGAAGAAGTTAAAATTCAAAATGAACTAAAAGTTTTTAACGGGATGCCCGAAACACTTTGTATACATTAAGATTTATACGGTCAATTTTTCGACNTACATTCTACACACATGCACAAAAATATAAAAATTATCTAACTGAAAAGATAACAAAAAAAATGTCTTTCAGTTAATTTTTTTTTAAATGAGAAGAAAAATGAACTCATAAACGTACAAGGAACTACATTATCTACTTTATATGACCGAATTAGAAACCATAACAGGTAGCGTGTTGCCTGGAGGTTGCAGATTCTCCATCTGTATTTAGTCTTTTATTAAAAACTGTAACGTCAAAATTTATATTAACCTAAATTTAAAAAAAAAACCTAAACTAATTTTTTTGATTTTTCCTGTTATTTATATATACGAATAATAGCAACAATAGTCTTTGTCAACAACTAATTTTTTTGATTTTTCCTGTTATTTATATATACGAATAATAGCAACAATAGTCTTTGTCAACAGGCCTGAGGAAATGTTATTAAAAATATTTTACGTATTAAGCTTGACTTGATTAGAAATATTTAATATTTTCACTTTATGTTATAATACAAATAAAAATGATTGAATTAAAAAAATATACACACAAATTAATTACTTTATAAAACAACAGATGGCGACACAAATAAGTGGTTCTATCGCATCGTTTTGACATCATTTTTAAAAATTGTTTATTGTAGAGATGACGTCAAACTGACGTTAAAGTGTACAGTTTCTGGGCGAAACGAACAAATCTATTGTTTTGTATTATTAAGATTATAAAATGCTTCAATTAAATTTTTATTATAAACTTTCCTTTCGCTCTTTCGCTAGAAAATTGAAGCTAGAATTTTCCGATGATCTTTTACTTTCAAAATGCAACAATTATATCACTTTAAATAAAAAATATACCTTTTCAACCATGTTCAAAGTGTAATGACGTATTTATTTTAAAGGTTTAAAATTAGATGAAAATAATTCCATTCCTCACTTCGTATAGAAAAATCACAAAATTTATTTATAATTTTTAGCTGTTACAGAATAATATAAAATTATGTATTTTCTAATACTTTCAAATATACTTTTTAAATCTTAGATTATTGTTTATAACTTATTGTTGAAAACTTTCCTCAAAATTATTCTTAAAAAAGTAATTTAAAATGCTCATAAATCTGTTGTAAATGTGATTAAATTGGAGTTTATCATCGTAAAGATAAATATTGTTTTATAATTGCATTTATAACTAATCATAAAAGAATATAAGCTGAAAAAAAAGAACATGATAAACTGATTACTTGTTCTTCTGTCAAGGTAAACACGTAAAAACATACAGTCATCGAGCTGTATAGGCGCAGTAGAAGAATAATACATCCATGATACGCTGCCACCAAGTTCAAAAACAGGTTTGTCTACTCGAGTGAACACGACAAAATTCTCGATAGTTTGAAGATGTCGGCGGGTAACGAGTGGTTCTTAGCATTTGTAGGTATTTTCTTTGTTGTTGTGTTCTTACTAACGTTCCTTAAAGAGTTCTTTCGAGGTATACAACTCTATTTGATACCCAAGTTTTTCTCCAGAGATTTAAAACAGTATGGAGATTGGGCTGTCATTACCGGTGGAAGTTCTGGTATAGGAAAATACACAGCTTACGAATTAGCTAAATCTGGTTTGAACTTAGTACTTGTCAGCAATGAATTGGAGCAACTGAAGTCTACAGTAGAAGATATCAGTGGGAAGTTTGATGTGAGGTGTTGTTACGTTCACGTTGATTTTACTGAAGAATGGACTGTTTACGATTATCTGTGGAATCAAATCGAAGATAAAGATATTGGAATATTTATAAATTGTGCCGGCATTGACGGTAAATCACCCATTCATTTTCTAGACGAGTCGGAAAGAAACATCTTGACTATGATTACGTTGCACGTTGACACAGTAGTTAATACTACATACAGAATGACAAATTATTATCCAAGAAAGAAGAATGGTGTTGTAGTAAACGTATCTTCAATGGCTTCCTCTTTTCCTAGCCCATATTTTGCTACATATTCTGCTAGCAAAAAGTTTGTAGACGTGTTTACTAAAGCAGTAAATGTTGAGTTAGAAGGTAAGGATATTATTTTGCAGTCTCTTACACCGTTTTTTGTTAATACTCCGATGGGTCATAACAAGCCATATTTAGATAAATTGTGGATATTTTTTCCTTTATGTCAAACTTTCTGCGAAAGTTGGGTTAAGTGTATAGGAATAAATAAGAATTTTACTGGTTACTGGTTACACGAGGTTTTAGCTTACAGTTTACGTTATTGTCCTAGATTTGTATGGAATTTCGGTTTACAAAAAATGTTCGACGAGTCGGAAAAATTAAAAAATAACGTAGCAAATAATGTTGAATCGATCGGTTAAATCGTCGGTTCCAAGCCTGCTTTTGAGAGAAAACTTTTGTTTTATGGTCGAACAGAGAAAGGTTTTTTGGAAAGGAAATAATTAGGCCTATATATATAGCACCACATAAGTGATAATTTATTTTAATAAATAATTTTTTATATATTTGATAATGTTAAAGATACTGTCATGATATTATTATGTTATAAATATATTTTGTTAAAANGTTAGCTCGGCGTTAAACGCGCGTTGAAAAACGCCTAGTGTGTACAGGGCCTTAGATGATTTGTTTTTAATTAATATATTTACAGTAAGATGATGCGGTTTTCACAGAAATGCTTAGAAATAAACGAGATTTGTTCATATGTAGTAAAAATTTTAGTACAAAAATAGTTACATTTCTTGTCATAGATGGCGCTTGATAAGATTACATAATTTGTGAAGTTGTTACTAGAGCTTACACTAAGAACATTTTTATTCATACTTTAATAAATTTACAAATTATTTCAGTTTTGGAGCACATCGCCATCTATGCCAAGAAACTTAACTATTTTGATACTGAAATTTTTATTACAACTAAAAATATGCCGCTTCTTTCTAAGTATTTCTGTGAAAACCGCATCATTTTACTGTAAATAGTTTGCAAGTTATTAATTTTTTTAAGTTTCTGTGACTTTCGAATCATTCTGTATTTTTTTTTTTTTTTTTTTTTTTTTTTTTTTTTTTTTTTTTTTTTTTTTTTTTTTTTTTTTTTTTTTTTTTTTTTTTTTTTTTTTTTTTTTTTTTTTTTTTTTTTTTTTTTTTTTTTTTTTTTTTTTTTTTTTTTTTTTTTTTTTTTTTTTTTTTTTTTTTTTTTTTTTTTTTTTTTTTTTTTTTTTTTTTTTTTTTTTTTTTTTTTTTTTTTTTTTTTTTTTTTTTTTTTTTTTTTTTTTTTTTTTTTTTTTTTTTTTTTTTTTTTTTTTTTTTTTTTTTTTTTTTTTTTTTTTTTTTTTTTTTTTTTTTTTTTTTTTTTTTTTTTTTTTTTTTTTTTTTTTTTTTTTTTTTTTTTTTTTTTTTTTTTTTTTTTTTTTTTTTTTTTTTTTTTTTTTTTTTTTTTTTTTTTTTTTTTTTTTTTTTTTTTTTTTTTTTTTTTTTTTTTTTTTTTTTTTTTTTTTTTTTTTTTTTTTTTTTTTTTTTTTTTTTTTTTTTTTTTTTTTTTTTTTTTTTTTTTTTTTTTTTTTTTTTTTTTTTTTTTTTTTTTTTTTTTTTTTTTTTTTTTTTTTTTTTTTTTTTTTTTTTTTTTTTTTTTTTTTTTTTTTTTTTTTTTTTTTTTTTTTTTTTTTTTTTTTTTTTTTTTTTTTTTTTTTTTTTTTTTTTTTTTTTTTTTTTTTTTTTTTTTTTTTTTTTTTTTTTTTTTTTTTTTTTTTTTTTTTTTTTTTTTTTTTTTTTTTTTTTTTTTTTTTTTTTTTTTTTTTTTTTTTTTTTTTTTTTTTTTTTTTTTTTTTTTTTTTTTTTTTTTTTTTTTTTTTTTTTTTTTTTTTTTTTTTTTTTTTTTTTTTTTTTTTTTTTTTTTTTTTTTTTTTTTTTTTTTTTTTTTTTTTTNAATTAAAAATGTGATTAAAAATTGCAGCCCGGCATTGTGACGATGTTACAATAAATAATTGCTCGTCAATTATAACTTTGAATTTTTTAATCTTTCTCGCTTTTTCATATTCTTATAACTTATTGTTATTTGTTTAATGTCACGTGTTCGATATAATGCAATTTAATGATATAATGCTACAGTCATTTGTTGACATTAAATTGTTCAAATAACAATAGAACATTAAGGTGTATTGAATAATTTTCTTAACTCTCAAGAAGTTTCCAAGAATAGTTCAACAAGAAAAATGTAAATCGTTTGTAGTGATTTTTTTATGATGAATGTTATTTTTTTAAATTATTATTTTATGGCTATTTAGTTCTGTTCTATAGGCCTAAACTTGGAATCTCGGTAAAATTTTTAAGTAAGATCATGTCTATAAGCGAGGTGGCGAATTCGAAAGACTATTGATCCTTTGTGCGATAAAGACTGTTCTGTAGTCCTAAACGGTATTCGACCTAACACTTTTAATGACGTCACTTCGGGATAAACACTCTAAATAAATAGAAATTTAATTTAATTAGCTTCTCTTGTAATTGGGCTGCAATATATACATTCCCATTGTCATTCGTCAGTCCGTCCTTCGTTAATCTAGAGAACCGAGTTAGTACGATAAAAATCGAGACCAGATATGGAAAACTCATATCTGGTCTCGATTTTTTGTACTTAAAGATATTTCTTTAATAACATTGCCCTTTGCTCCCTAGGGGCCGAGTGGATAAAAGCACTGAACATTGGTAGTGAATTCGCGCCTGCTCAACGAATTGACCATGTGGTGTTTTCTGGATTTTCCCCACGTTTGTAAACCCCTAAGTAGGGGCCATAGAAAGTCCTCCCAGAAGAATCCCACTTTGGTAGATCGCCCTTGTGTCTCGTTCGGTAGCCGAGTGGACTCCGTCTCCGCTTGCTAATGGTGACCAGACCCTATACACCGCCTAAACACCGGGGTTCGCGCCTCACTCGGACGAGCTGGCAGCGGGAGTTTTTTCCGGGTTTTCCTCCTTGCCAATGACGCCTGAATAGGGGCCAGCTTTCTCTCCAAGTCCTCCAGGAAGGCATTCTGTCTCCCTTTCTCGCGGGGGTCGTCTCTTATAAGACCGGCTTTGGTTACTTCGTGACGTCTCTCCTGTCTTCCTCGGATTAGTCGTCTTCTTTAAGACCGACTCTTCCTCACTGTTTCTTCTGGAGTGACAAGCGAATAGCAATAACACTTCTCTATCGAAATGAAAGATGGAAAGATGGAGCTTGTGTCTCGTTACCTTAAACAAATAAAAACATATTGCACTTATGTTAAGACATTTATTCACATTTATATTATTTCTTAATCACTTTATAATTGACTTTTTTCCCGCGTGGTGCATCGTTTTCGAGATAGGAGCGCTAACTTCCAAATATCACCGCTAGTGACGTTTTAAGTGACCTTGTCTTGTAGTGCATAATATTTTCACTATAAGTATAGGGGAGACCGGAGCAAGATCGGCATGTTAAGCTTTACTTAAATTTTGTGTAATAAATACTGCTGTAAACTGAAAAAAAGCTTTGCATATTGTCTATTGGAATGTTACCTTACTATAGAACTGGTTAAAATCAGTTTGGAAATAAAAATAATTAAAATAATTACAACTTTACAAGAAGAGAGAAATTGACGAAGTTGCCCCGGGTATAGGGGCAAGATCGGCAACTTCTCTCTTTTTGTAAAGTTGTAATTATTTTAATTATTTTTATTAAAGTTGCCCCTGGTATAGGGGCAACAGTAATGGGGCAAGATAGGCACGTATATAAAATTATGTTATTAACAATGTATAAGTTGGAATTCACTATTAAAACAAAGAAATACAAATCCAACACCCATTTAATATTATTACAACGAAATGCAAGTTCAAAGACATATATACATGAATAACAAATGCAAACATGTTTTCATTTATCATCTGTTTGATTTTTATCCTTTGCTTCTAATGTGGCTTTATGTTGCCGATCTTACCCCGCTAGTCATGATTTCGAAACATTAAGTACAACCCTGAGAACAGAATGCCAAGCCACGATCTGGCCACGTGAATAAGTTGAAGTTACATCCTTCTAACAGGAAAAGTAACTTTCGTTATCATGGAATTATAACAAAACCTGCCAATTCAATATAAATGGAAAAAAAATATTATATGGAATTGAACGAAAATGAAAATTTGCTTGATAATTCAACTACGCTTGTTGGAGAACAATAAAAACACTACACTCAACAAGCCACCAATAAAACTCAACTGCCTAACCTATAACAAAAGTCTCTTTTTAATTTGTTTTAAAGAAAAAGCGCTTAACAAACTTGCCCCGTATGACGAAGTTGCCCCGGTCTCCCCTACATCAGATCAGTTATTATGATTTCTGTAAATTGATAAACAATTTAATTCTACAGTTTGATAATCATACGGTTATTATTTACAACAGATTTTTTTTGTTATACGTAAAACTATTGGACCGGACACATTGAAACACTTGAAATTGTCCGAACGTTGATCTTGCTTTCTTTTTGGGAAATCTATTTTAGAGCAAGGTTTGGGTCGTCAGGAACTTTTCGGATGTTTATAAAGCATTTATAAAGCATAAATACTCCTATTTGATTCTATAATGGTACAATGGAGACGAAGAATTGGCAGCCCTAAATCGAAGTTTGAATATGTTTTATTTACAAAAGTTATCAATATTTTAAAAAAATGTTATTTGTAAACGTGAACTATGTAAATATTACAGTTATAATTTCAACAAGACTGTAGTCTATACATACATGTATTAATGTATTTTTAGAGATATTCACGTGCTTCTGTGACGTTGTATACAGGGAAAAACTTAGTTCTTTTATATTAAAGTGTTATGTATAGAATGAATATAAATAAACACAAATTTTTAATTTTTATTTAACACCAAATGCTAAGAATACAGAATTTAGAAAAAAATAAAGGACAGTTTTTACCTATTAGTCTTTGTAATAAATACTTGTAGTGCGTACAAATTAAAAAAGTTAAATATCGAAAAATAAAATTAAAAATTCAAAGTTTAAAACTATATATTAAAAACTAATAATTGTATTAGCATAATTAGTAAATAAGCAGTCTACAGATAACATCAAAATAAATTGTACAGTAAAATAAAGAAAATCTCCACATTCTTGCTTACATTTATGGGCTTTTTCAAACTGTTTCCACTCTGTAGGCACCTTTTTCATGCTCATCATGGTGGATTCGTCCAGCCTACAATGGAGCGACAGGATGGTGAGAGAGGAGGTCGACGTATCTGGTACAAACTACTACTCGAAATATTCCTGGGTTTTTTCGAACTCCCGTGTCGATCTCATAACTATTATACATTCGTTATATTTCTTTTATTACTTGAAATAGGAAGATTTCCTATTAAGAAAAACTTAATTTAAAATAGATTATGTACAGTACATGTATTGTACATCAAGTTTACATCACAAAAAG